AAAATAGACGTCAATAGATAAAGTATAAAGAATGATAAAAGCCGTTGAAATTATTATTAGGGTTGAGACATTCAACGTTCTACGAATACTGCAAAACATCCGTGATTAGCAAATTTGAATCTTCGCCCTTATCCGGTTATTCAAATATTTTGAATTCTAATCTAAAAACATTTAAACGTTTTAATTTAAACCTTCGGAGATAATAGATTTACTATGTCAAGCAAAAGGGTGCATTAAGTAATGAACGTTAATGCTGCAGTTTCATCGAATCTGGATTATCAATATATAAACCCGTATAAGAAATGTTAAGTGCCTGGAAATTTTCTAGAGGAAAATTAAGGTATTTAAGAATACCTTCTTTTCTACACTTGCAGTGATTTAAAAAAGATTTATAGCTCAAAAGGGCGTTATTCCAGAACGGCTATTTGTTCCGAAACGGCATTTTGCGTCGGTTCACTACAAACGTCGTATCACTTTTCAAATTGCTGCCATCAAATATTATCACCTTGAAAGAAATTAAATAGTGAAGAATCTGCAGGAATGAATGTATGTTTCTCGCACTGTGAAAAAACAACGATGCCTAGAGGCATCAAATTTTGAATAACGTATGTATGTAATATTTTGCCAATGCAAGCAGGGGCAACATACTATACGGAATAAAATATTTTTATCCCCATCCCGCGAAATTGTCTAACGGAAATCCTAAAGATATGCTGTTTTTAAACCTTATTAGCACAAAGGAGAGTTAGCCTAGATTATCTCGAAACAAGTACGTATATGTAAATTAAAAAAAAAAAAAAAAAAAAAAACGCTAATTTAAAATCTGTAAGCTTTCAGATTTTTTTTTCAGTTGTTGCTCAAATATTTTTATCAAATTATATTGAGAAAAGGAGCTTCAAATCTCAAGGATTTTAATTATATGCTTTTTTTCCTCTGAATTTATTTTATAATCTTTTAATAAGTATAGGTATACTTTAAAAAAACCAATATTCCTAAATTTGTTTTCATTAAGCGCAGATTTCAAATTTTTTTCAATTTGAAACGTAATGCAAATATCATCTTAATATATGTAAGTTTATGAAAATACAAACCAAAATAAGTAATTATACAAACTAAATTAATAAATACTGTTTAAATACCGGTCTTCATGATGGATCTAAAATCCTGCGCGGCTCAGAGGGAGAAAATAATTACTATTCAGTATTAAGTTTTAAAATGATATAAAAGAAAAATGACTTAATTGTTTTGACGATAGTGATCTATCAAGATTATTAGAGCTTCACAAAACTATTCTGGTCGAACTCAACCAGGTATGCATACGAAAAATGTCACGCAGGTTAATTTTCAGTGCCAGATTAAAGTTTCTCATTTTTCAGAGCTAATTTTCAGTGTCTGTTTCCATTAATGAAATGTTATAAACTGTATAATAAATAATAATGTAAGGGCGCGAAGTCGATAGCGATGAATACGAGCGATTGGGAAAACTTTTGTTCAGCCAAAGTCTTCATTCTTTGTTTAGATGATTCTAGCATCATGACAGCACGCGTTGTCATGGTGAATAACAACGTTTCTTATCTCAACTGTTAATGCTCATTTTCTTTCCATTTCTGTCAATCAATCCAGTTGTTCACACTAATAACAATTTTGGCAGTTTTGGCGAGGGTTAAAGTCATACAATACTAGTCAAATCCCAGTAAATGCTTTAAACCTTTAATACATGTAGTTGCTATTTGGCAACATACTCATATTTAGTCATCTAAATCAAACCAAAGCACAAATTTTAGCTTACTGCGTAGTGTAGCCAATTGGATACATACTGTTTACGTATATAGTTACGTATATACGAGTAGTTACATATAAGTTACGTATATAATTACATATAAGTTACGTACATAGTTACGTATAAGCTATGTATGTAGTTACGTATAAGTTTCAAGGTGGTGGCACCGTTAACGAAGTAACGGTCATTATTTTGAGTTGATGTGTAAGATGTGGACATCATTTGTGTTGACGAATTTTTGATTTTGTCTTTGTTGTTATTTTGATGCATTCAAAGTTTTAAAATTTTTTAAACAAGTTTATAAGGTATGTATTATTACATAAAATTTTATTACACATTTGCCTATCATATGTTTTGTAAAAGTTAATAATATTTTTTCAAAAATTTGAATAAAAACTTTTTTTTTTCTATTTTATTTGATATCAGTTCTAATGTGTATTTGACTTGAAAATAAAAATAAAAATTCACGCATTTAAGACAAACTTTTTTGCAGATAAAAGTCTTGTTTGGCTGAATTTTAGTCCGTTCCATCAGAACAGTTGACGGCATTCTACGCCTCAGACTTTTGTAACGTATAAATTTTCTATCACGTGTGACCACACAGAAATAATAGCCCTCAATTTGGTAACTATTTTTGTTTTGTTGATGAAAACAAATTATTTTAATAAAAAATAATGAACAATAATCTTCTTTTAAATTTGATATTAAACGTGCCAAATTAATTTATAATAAAATTTTATTTGGATATAATTCTTTTATAAATAAATAGTCTCAAAACTTAATATTTTATTTGGTTCCAACTTTTTTGTCCTACAAAAACTTAGGAATTGCTATGACTTGGATTTAACTGAATCTTTTAAAACCCAAAATACATGACATTAGTAAATCGAAAAATATGGTTAAACTCTTTCTGCAAAAGCTGTTAAAATATTGTATACATCATACACTCATATTTTCAAACTGAGTAAAACAGTTAAATATTTTAATATACATATTTTTTTCTATTATTATTCTTATAATTAAGTTTTTGAAAAACTGCAATCGCTTGCATCACTTTTCTACATATACTACTTATTTTACATATACATCATCAAAAGAAATGGGTTTGGTTATTTGAAAATGGTAAAGCCCTCGAGGGCTATCTGCTTAAAGGAAAGCATGCCTTCCTGGTGGACTTTTTAAAAGAAGCTCGTTAAGATCTTCGAGTATGTGACTGTTGCAAGAATTGGGATTACTTATTTATTTTAAAATAGATTACTTCCAAATTTTTACAGTTGACTACATAATACAGCTATTTTCTGAAAGTAATCAGAAAGTTTTTGTTGCCACAAACATTTTTATAATTTAATCCGCTTTGTGACAAAATGTTTCGTCATGTTTCCACCTTGCGCGCACAGTTTAAAACATTCTGTTGCATAATTTAATTTCATATTTAATATATAGCTTTTATAACATTTGGAAACTACTGTGAACTAAAAATTCTAAGAATTTCATGTTAAATTTTTATTTTACTTGGAATTTATTAAATATATTTTATTAAATAAAATCTGTAATGTTTTCGCGCATAAAGCTTTTGAATATTAAAATATTCATCAGATTTTTGGTTCAGTTGGAAGATACTGCTCATATAAAGAATTCCCTCAAATTTTAAGTATGTACCATTAACCATTTTTAAAATATCATGCGCGCAAGGTGGAAACATGACGAAATATTTTGTCACAAAGCGGGTTAAATTATAAAAATATTTGTGGCTACACAATCTTTCTGGTTACTAGTTTCCAAAGCAGCTATATTATGTAGTCAGCTGTAAAAAGTTGGAGGTAATCGCTTTTAAAATAAAAAAAAATATCCCAATTCTTGCAACAATCACATATTCGAAGATCATAAGGGGTTTAAGGTGTATGAGCCCTCTTAAATATATATACGATTCTTCTACGCAAACATTTGGTTTCTGATATTCCACTGCTTTTCTTAATGCAGAATGTTATTATTAAAAACAGAAAAAATATGTATTTTATGCAGTAAAAACCTTCGTAAGTAATAAAATCAACATTTTGTGAACGAAATTTAAACTTATCATAATACAAAGAATAAAATATCGAGAGGGGCGAAAATCAGCCAATATGCAAACACCATCCGTCGAAGCTGTTTTAAAGCATCTGGAAGAAGTACTTATCACAAGGGTAGTCCTTACACACTCATAATACACATTTTGTAATACACATTAAAAATAAGTCTTCATTCAGACATCGCATTTTAAGAATGGGAATAGACTAGTGGGAATAGACTTATTACGGACTTTTAAAGTTTTACATTAAAAAGTAAACAATGATACGAGAAAACAAACAAGAACAACAATAACAAACAATCTGAAAAGTTTCAGATTTTAAATTACGTCCAAAGGGGCGCTTTTTTAAAGTTTTGTGTGTTACCTTTATTTATTAAATATCATATTCTACGAACTCAAACTATAAAATTCAGCTCAACAGCAATATTGCAAATTAAGTTTAAAATGAGCATATCTTTAGAATTTCCGATACAGAGTCCCGCGCGCTGGAGATAAAAATGCTTTTTTTCTTACAGTGTTGCCATTGCTCGCTTTGAAATCGATTAGATTTTTTAATCAAAAATTCGTTGAAGTGTTACAAAATCTGAAATCGGTAATAAAACAAATTTCAAATTCATATTAGGGCTTCCACATGCCCATATTCTATGGAACATTACATTGTTCAAATTGTGATGGCTCTAGGTACCGTTGTTTTATCAAAATGCGAGAAAGATACATGCATGCAGATTCTTCATTAATTAATTTCTTTAAATATAAGGCAAGGCGATAATATATGGTGGCAACCATTTGAAAAGCGATACAGGTTTTTAAAGTTTTCGACGCGAAATATCAAAACGAAATTAATAGTCCTTCAGGGCAAACTTCCCCTTTGGATTAATAAATTAAATATTTATATTTGACTAAAAATTTATTAGTTGTTACATTCCTTAAATTAACACAATTTAATTTTCTATAGCTTGTAGGCACGACAATTTGTTTTAAGCCTGCCACTACATTTTTTACAAAGTTTTAGCTAACTCTCACTAGATTCAATTTAAAAAATAATTAAAACTAATTATTACTAAAACATCCAATTTCTTTCTTGGGAACTTCTAAGAACTTCAACTTAGCTGTTCACGGCTGTAATAAAAAAAATAAAGTAGTACACAATACCTGTTTGGACAGGGTACGAGTAAACAGTGTCTGTAAATGCAGTAGGAGTCGTGAATGCCCTTATCTTGACCCTGTAGGTTGAGGCTGGCTTGAGAGGACCGTTGCAGTAGCCCTTTACACCATTGCAGTTTTCCGCACCAATAGTGAAGTCTTCTACGAAGGAATGGTTGAACGGATAGTACGGCTCGTGGACCTGAAATGAGACCCGGCAAATGCAATATAGTAAGAATTGCCATAACGGCCTTTGAAACAGCTGCTGATAAAATGTGAAGAGGCACTGATAAAATACATCTAGAGAATTGTTATCTCCTTCTTTGTTTTTTTTTCCCCCCTTCTCTTTTGATTTTTTCTTAAAGCTCTGTGGTTTACCATAACACGTTTCTAAGAAACAGTTTTGTTTCGATTTTCGTAGACGATAAAGACTTTCATATTTGAGAGTAAATGCGGACATAAAATTAAGCCAATTTGTAATAATGCGTGCTGCGGAATATAAAGCATTTTAAGATTAAAATTAAGGATTAGTATAAAATTATATAAAAGAGGCCGATATGAGTAAGTACTATTTTTGTTAATTAAAACTCACGAGGGAGTTTCTTCTCAATAACGGTTAGTTTTACGGTCTACGGCTTTTCTGTCGTTTATAGATATATACTATAAATAAAGGGTGTTTATAATTTAGGAACCCTATTTCAAAGCTGCCTACAAGCGAAACCAGTGATCAGAAAATTATAAAATTTTGTGGTAGACTTAATGAAGGGATGAGAATGTCTTTCAGAGAAAAAAAAATAAATACAAATAGCATCACGAGAGGACGTTTTACTTTGAAAACCTGTGTAAATCTTTGTTGATGTCATGCAGCAGCGGTTAAAAAACATGGAAACATTGGCGAAGACTTTCCATGTTGCTTTCAATGTGCTTGTTGCTCACAATGACAATAAGTTTACGAGATCTTGCTTTGTTAACAAAATTGTTTTGCCAAAACAGCCGGCACTTTCGTAATGCGTGGTCCGCCCGATCCAAATTTTTCGGCTTTGAGAACATTTCAACATCTGGTAAGTCGCTTTAATCCAAGAAGTTTACCTGATTTTAAAACCAGCATTTCACATCTCTGCTGAATATTCCCTACCACACACTTCTGTCAACTGTGGAACATGCCGTCTTGCGATTTCAAACAGTAGCTGAAAATGATGGCCATCATACGGAACATGTTTTTTGTAACAAAATTTGTAAAACTGTAAAACTATTGTAAAGTTGTAGCTAAATATATAATTTATTAATATAATGCCTTCTGGTGACGCTATTTGTAACTATTTTGTTTTCTGTGAAAGACATGCTCATCTCTTCATTAAGTGATGATTTATTTATCCCAAAGTGGTAATATATATAATGCCAAATTACAGGCTTGGGAGAATTATTGGGAGAGTTTAAAACTGAAATCTCCCTTTAATACTTACTACGCTATAGTTAAAGGCAAGGGATATAAAGCACTTAAACTCAGTAAAATTAAAAGGACAGATGGTAGTTGGGACAAACACAGTTGAAGTTACTCTACGCTATATCATTTGTATTCACTTCCCTCAGGACAACATTGACGATGATATGGAAGAAGACAGAGAGATAAGAAATCGTTCTATGATAACTCCAGACACAGATGATGATCTTCCAATAACTAACCAAGAAATAAACAATATCATAAAATCTACAAAAAGAGGAAAAGCGCCGGGGGACGACGAACTTTCCACAGATATTGTAGAGGAAATCTTTATTGCTAATCCAAATCTAATGACTCAAATTATGAAAAGATGTTTAGAAATTGGTTATTTTCCAGAAGAATGGAAGATTGGTAATTTAGTCCTTTTTCAGAAAGAAGGGAAAGGTGTTACAAATCCCAAAGCCTAAAGACCTATTTGTCTTTTATCGGCTTGGGGAAAAATATTAGATAAGATTATTGCACGACGACTAACTCATTTTTTAATTGCAAAGAAAATACTCAATAGCCAACAATATGGTTTAGAAGCGGGTCGTAATGAATCTGTGTTTTATTAGATGGTAAATGCCTTGAATGTTGTTTAAAGAGAATCTTTATTTTTTCTGAAATTTCTTTAATTGTAGAACTAATTTCTGCATCAGAATTCAAATTAAATTCTGAACAAGAAAGATCTGTTATCTCCTGCCTTAATGTAAGCCATTGAGAGTTTTCAGTTCTCGTTTTGAGTTTTTGAGAAGAAGGCCTCATATCCATGTGAATTTCAAAATTAATATCTTTATGGTCACTTAACGTGTCTCTCGGATCAACTTCCCAGTTTTCTATTTTTAAACTTTGTAGCCCTTTAAGGAGAGTTAAGTCAATCAATGAATTTCCCAGAGGACCTACAAATGTCGGGGGGGAGAGCTATTTTTTTCATTAATAACTGCGAGATTAGTTGTTGCTAGAAAGTCTCCTATTCTTGTTTCACGACGGTTTGTGGGTACTGGACCCCACATACTATGTTTTGAATTAAAGTCGCCGCAGATAACTATTGGAAGATCGCCTGCATCATTTATTATTATTTCCTCTAATGTAATTAATATTGGATCAATTTCTGTGCTCGGTGAGGTTCTTGTATATAAGCTATTTTTAAATTTGAAATATTATCAATGTCAACTTTTAATTGTGCACTTGCACTTCGTGAGTGTTGTAAATTTAACTGTGTGTTAACTATATCCATAATTAATCTTTTTAATTAACAGATCCATTTCTCTTTGCTTACTTGCACAATTTTTACTTACACTACTATAATTGATATCCAAATTCAAATGATAATGCGTATTAGCATGCTTGCAGTTGACACATTTTTCTGCGGAGAATTGCGTTATTTGTTAAGGTGTCCTCTTTTACCACATTTGAAACATCTTGTGCAGGAGACAACAAGAAGGGGCGAGATTCAAGTTGCAAATAAGAAAAAATGAAGATATCTTACTACATATTGTAATGTTTCATATTCAAGTTTCAAACAAGTAGAAATGAAGATATCTTATCAGATATTGTAATTTTTATATTACTATGGATTCTTGTTGTTGTTGTCTATGACTACTTGTCTGAGTCAGCCCAAGCCAACGAAATTCCTCTCGACAAGGAGCGCTAGATTGCGCCTGGCGTTGGCACCTAACAGGTGATAGTGCGCTTTGGCTCAGTTCCGCTCCAAATTTTGATGGAGAGCACCTCGGGGGGGGATGGTTCCGAGGGTATTCCATCCCTTTTACCCATGGAGGTAGGAAATTCTTACCTCGATGCTCTTACCTTCTAGGATTCGGCAATCAGCGATGCTAACCACTACACCGGTTGGACGGCTACTATGTATTTTTACTGTGGTGTAGGTTTAAAGAAATAATATTGTGACAGTTAACTTTTGAGGAAAATGTACGAGGAAGTACGGTATATGTGTACGGTTCATACGTGTTTACTTATTAGTGATGTGTCACAAAGTTTAATTTCTTAAACTGAGATCAAGGACCTACAGTCAGTTCATGAGTTCAAAATTTCATAGAGCAAGCTTTGCATAACTTACTTATTTTAATTCAAATCCACAATATCGCGAATGCCATCACAAACAAATATATTTTGAAAAGGTTGTTTTAAAAATTACAGAGCATTTATACTGTAGATGTCCCTCACTTGAAATTCTAAGTTAATGTTGGAAGTGAGGAACCTAGGAACTGATAAGCGAATAATCGCTAGAGTTCGAAGACAGGAAACAACAAGAGAGAAGGGTAAATAACCCTTTATTATTTCTATAAGATTTCACAAAACTCCGCCTGGGAGTGAACAAATAAAGTCCGCACTTTGGACTTGAACTTAAAAGACTAAGAATTAAACTAAAACTAAGATTAACCAACTAAGTATAAGCCAAAGCTATCAAGGTACAATGAGAGTTGGCCCCTTAACCTATTTTATACTACGAAGCTTAGCAAGGGCCTGAGTACGGCCCCGTCTAAGCTTTGGAGAGAGAGAGAGCGGCCAAAAAAGGCAGACGCGCGTAGTTCAGAAACTCTGTTTCTCTCTCTGTCTCGGTAAGTAACTTCGTAGTTTAAATACCGCTCCTTCTCATTAAATATTCAGCAAATTCCAAAACTACGTTCTGGCCGGAAGTAGCAAGTTGAAGTTAAGAATTTGACAGGAAAGGAACTTTAACTTAAAATTTAACTGTTAATAAAATTAACATAATCCTTACAATACAAAATTCTAACACATTCAGACTCACATATGAAGCTGAAATTTCTGAAAGTGAACTTTTACATTTACTTGCATTTATGCAGAAATTTTTACTTCTATCTCAGATGATGATTTTACTTTTGCTTGTCAGCTTCTGTGTGTATACCCTGCACCAAAAGAAAAAAAAAAGTTCTGCATATCCCGCTCTTCTGGGCTGACTGATGAACTTTAATTTGCGTTTTTCACGTTTCGATAGCACGACTTAGGATATATATTAGATTTATATACAGCGTTGCTCTAACATAGATATTTTGACACAGAATCAGACTTTTCTGAAATGACCATATTTCGATTCTACTCTAAACTTAACAAGAAATTTAAATATTTATCTTGGCGCACTTTTTTAAAATTGTTCCAAGAATAATACACTTGGCGAAGTTCTTAATTTATAGTAACCTATTTTCTTTTTTTATTGTACACAAGCGGAAAAACGTACATTGTTCTTTCTTTCAAATAATTTTAACAAAGCGCGTAAACTACATTTGGCGTTAATATGGCTTATAACTAATATTCCAAATTTCAAAACGCGCCAATATATTAATTCATGTAGATCTTTAGATATTTTAAATGAAAAACTCTAATTTTTTGTAGGTATGCCTGGAAATATATCTACATTAAGGTGATGATAAAAATCGGATAGGTTGCAATTCAGAAATTTTCCCGAAAAACGTATAAAAAATTACCAAAAAATACAAATTTTAAAATGAAATCAGAAAACAGCTGCGAATTTTAGTTGGATTGAACCTAAATTTCAAACTGTAAAAGAAGAAGTCAAGTAAGTTTAATAAAAAAGAGGTATTAATAAATATATATCACATCAAATTCAATTAACACTGAAGCTAAAATTATAAAAGCTTATATTTAAAACTACTCCTGGGAGTTTTATAAAACTTGACACTTTTGCATAATTTGAGTAGTAGAATCGAAACACGGTAAAAAAATCGGTATGTCATTTTAAAAAAAGTCTGATTTTGTGTCAGAATACCTATGTTAGAACAATGTTATAAATAAATCTAATATATATCCTAAGTCGCGCTTTCGAGACATGAAAAACGCAATTCTAAATTTTGTCAATCGGCGCAGAAGAGCGGGAGATATAGAACTGTCCGATTTGGGGGGGGGACAAGGTGTACCTTAATGGTTAAGAATGACGTCATAAAAATACCGCGTTTTCGGTAGAAAATGTAGAAGAAGAAAATCAGGTGTCGAACTAACATAAGGCTTTCCTCCCACTTTTTGATAGCATTATCTTCCAGTGCTGATAGATTGCGAAAACACACTTTCGGTCGAGATGATAATATTTGTTTGCTGATGAAGGTAAGTCAGTTAAAAAAAATCTGTTGCTCATGCCAATAATCTTTGTTCATAAAGTACACAGTCTAAAATTAATATATACCTTTTTATAACACACTTTTCAATAAAAAGCTTCTGCTTAAAAAGTAAATTTATTGCGCTGACAGTCTCCCTTAGATGACCATTTTTGAAAGTGATCGGTGTTTTCACGAATATAATTAAATGATGTATGTGTAATCGAATGAAATTATTAAAAGGAATAAAAGATAAAATATTAAAATTAGTAAAAACTCTTTGTTAGTACGTAAAAATTATGGAAATCTATAATATGGAAATCTCATTACGGAATATTTTTCTTTAGGAAATCCAGAATTGCATACATGCAATTTACGATGCTATTTCATCGTGAAAAAAATGTACATTTCTTTACTAAATTTAAAGTAAATCATAAGAATATTGATTTCGTGACAATATTACAAAGTAAGCTCTTGTAATTATATTGCCAGAAGGAATCGCAGTTTAGATTTAATTGAGTGACAGTTAGTAGAAAAAGAAACATAGAAGCATACAGCGTATTTGTTTTGAATAGGATTTAACATCCGGTTATTTTTCATTGTAATGAAAAACATATTTAAATGTCCCCAAAAAGACATTTTTGATTTAACTTAGATTGTTATTTAATACGTATTACAGATAAAAACAGCAAATGAAATAGATAAGAAATAATTTAGTGGTGAAGAATAAATCTGACAAAGAAGGGTCAATCTCATAACACCCGATGTCCTGCAGTTCCTTAAAGTTCTATTGCTCAATCCTTTCTTGGGGAGATGTTACCAGTCCTAGGCCAAACCTTCTAGATCAACGAACGCCAACCGGTGGTCCACAAACCACCAGTGGCCCTTGATAATTTTTGCTGGTCCGCAGAAAAATTGGGATATTATTTATATTTTTATGAAGATTCAGTTTAAAAAATGACGAGTAACAAAACCTATTATGGAATATGGATTATACTTTTTCTTAAATTTTAGCAACTACTTTTAACGAAATTCCTTCTGAATTTAGAGAGTTTCTAGCTACTTTTGCAGGTGTAGTTAGGGACATTTGAATTTGAGAATTGGCATCCATGGATATGCTGCTGTTATCAACAATAGCGCGAACTGGAACTCTCTTTCCTTTTGAATTACAAACATATGTTATTTTAGCTGTCGTTAATACAGTTTTTCTCCGTGTCAATAGGCATCTTGATGGATTTTTATGAGAACCATCTGCATTCTTGTTTATAATTGCATCACTAAAAGTTTCCGTTTTTGTTTTGTCTAACTATTGATCGATGGCGACATTGCTGAGTAAGCGATGATTATTATGTTTACGATAATTAAAATTGGCGCCATAACACTTCCAGTTTATTGATATTGCTTTGCGTTTGCCGGTTTGTTCATGCTTTTTGTGAAGTTCATTTTCAGTTACATGGAAATGGGAAGCTTTCTGTACAAGAAGGTAAGATTTTTGTACTTTTTATGCAGTTTTTCAGTGTGAACGAAATATGTGTAGTTTGTTGATTATTATTGTATAAACGTATTTAACTTTTTTTTTTAATTCATATGAGTGCTCCGCCAAATATAAAATTATATATGTAGTGGTCCGTGAAGTTCTAAGGTTTGACGACAGCTGTTCTAAAACGAAACGGTGTTCGGTTCAGCTGTTCGAAACGGTGTTCAGCCCACAGAGCTTCGTTAGTATGGACAACACAGAGGCACGCTTTCATAGCGTTGCCTCGTCATAAGCATTCTGTTACCTTTACGTAGATTGATCAGTCAGTGTTCGGGAAACTAGAAAATTTTAGGAAAGTGTCCCGGAAAATAGATATCGTGTTTTATGAAGATCTACCTTTCTAAAGCAACCTTCATAAAGGTACGGAGTTTTACCCCAAGGTTCAGGTATAGAGATTAATATTGCTATTCTATTTAAGAAGACAAGCGAAAATTTCATTTGCATAGACATGCCCCGGAAGGCACCCCAAGAGGTTCCGGTGCTTTATGACATCTGCTTTTTTAAATAAAAAAAAAATGAAAGATCTCAATAAAGGTGCCGGTCGCACCATTGTGAAGGTGTCTGAATTGAACCCTGGATGACATACTTTAAAGGACCAGCACCACTAGGTCAGGTGCAACATTCTTAGCACATGCAGTTTAGAAGAATAATTGCTAGTATCGGTTTTTATGCTTTAAGTATTAAAATTTCGTGAAATTCTCAAATTACTACGAGTATTTATGTGTAACGTAAAACGATAACATTAGGAAAAACAAACAGTTCCACTTCTACCATTTTTTTCTCATAAATTATTCACACACTAAAGTGAGAAGATTATCTCTTTACTCCTTTAAGTGAATTAATTTGTGCAGTTTCATAATAAAAATGCATAAACGTGGTAAACAAATGAAGTAGTTGATCGTAATTAATTAGCGCAAATTAGCTGTAAATTATTGCTGACTTCAGTTTCGTTGGAACACAGTCGAATTTTATCGACTGAATGTTGTGTTGCTAAACGTCAAAGAAAACTACAGTCAGCGATAAAGTTGTGTTTATTTGTGCTAATTATTAGGATAAACTTTTTCATTTGTTTACCATTAAACCGGAGAAAAAAATTCTTCAAGTGCGTAAAGATGGTTCTCATTAATAAGATACTTATTCGTTTTAAAACATTTATTTAAAAAAAAACATTTGTTAGTTTTAAAGAACGTGCTGCCATTACATTTCGTTAGTTTGTTAACCTTCGTTTAGTAGTCATCTGGTTGATGCATCAAAAATGTAACGTACCTGATAAGGAGGCCATAATGGGTATTGCTGAACATCTCCCCACGTGGGTAAGCGAAGGGCACTAGAGTCTTTGGTATCATCCTCAGCAACTATCAGACTATATGCAATGATTTTCCCGTTCACATTTGAAAAGAAGTTGTTACTGAATTCGACTCTAATCGAACTGGAAGTTCGACTCATCAGCTTCGGAAAGACACTTGGCTCCGGTGGAGGTGGAGCTAAAATGAAAAATTTATCGTTATAAAAGTAATTTTTCATCAAATTATTGTAGATTGATTTTAGTGCAATTATATGTGAAACTTTTGTGTATTTCTGTATAATGTAACATGAAAATCCTGAGAGACGATGCGCTGCCCGAAAAACAAAAACACAGGGCAAGTCTATTCAGCACTGAGTAAATGGCTATCTCGCTAATTTGGCGCCAAACTGGCGACGGGGCTCTCTAAGTTTGGCGATGAATCGCCAAAAGTCACCAAACTTGGGGACCATTTGGCGACATCACTCCGTCCGTGCATCACTGTATTAGTTATTGTAACTCAATAAATGTTATTGGTACTCTATGTAGCTGTAACCGTAATTCGGCTTTCACATGCCTTTCAGTTATTTCGAGAAGCAGAAAGTACTAAAAATATCTCGGTGGCTGGGTAAAAACTTTAAGATCGGACAGAGCTTCAGTTTGTTAGTTGTACTTCTTAATTCAGCGTGAGTTCGGAGTTATTTCCGGATTAGCTTCGCTCTTTGCATTGCGTTGAGTTTAACGTTCTTAGTAGTTTGAAGTGTAATTACTGATTGTATTCTGCAATACTGTGAAGATTTGTACTACTATTTTTGTGAAAAGTTCCAGAATCCTGAAGTGTTTATTTTGATAAAATAAATTCTATCAACCCATCATTGGTCCTGTGTGCATTCAATCTATTAGGAACTCGTATGAACATAATAAGATTCATTAAAGTTTTTTTTTTTTTTTTTTTTTTTTGGTAGGAAGGAAAGGAAATTGCTATTATGTTACTATAATTGTTTAATCTATTTTTAAAAAGAGCATTTTAGATCTAAACATTGTCTCTCATAACAAAACAAGGAAAACAAACAATATATGCATCTCGTAACTACATTTTTATATTAGTGTTTATAGACTATATTTTTAACAAATATTGCAGCCCAATTTATGCCATAGATATTCCACTAAATTAATGCAATAGTTTTTATAAAAATGTGTGCCGTAATTGACAACCATTTTATATTATTCAATATATTAAAAATTTTAGAACACGCATATAAATTAATCAAGCTTAATTTTACTTAAAAAAAGAATAAAAGATCCTAACCTTTTGGATTGCAAACTGTATTACATTTATAGAAGAAAACAACACAGTTCTTAATGAAACGTGACAAAATTTAATTTAGAAAAGTTGAGCAACGAATACATAAATACGAAAATATACATAAAAATATTTTTGAAACAAAAAAGTTTCGTATGAAACCTATTTATTTAATCTTTTTAATTTCTTTTTTTTTTTTTTTTTTTTTTTTTTTTTTTTTTTTTTTTACTGGTTTACACAATTTCCCTATTTCTACATATTTAATTTCTTTTTGTGCATTTAACTTTACGATTACTCATATAAATTATTTAATAAGTTCTCAAGATACAGAGGACTCCAAAAATTTATATATAATGTAACAAGAATCGTAAGACTACGCAAAGTTATGTTGAAAGTAATCGTAATAAAGTACACAGTAAAAGTACTTACGCCATATTGGAGTAGATTCTTCAAAAACTGCTGTCCTTCCCGGTCCTACTTTCGTATGCGCTTGAATCTAAAATCAAGCAAATGAATGAATGTTACAAATATTTAAGCTCATTATTGGATTGAGAATAATTTTAATTTCTGAAAAATTTGACATTCGAAATGTTTTCAAACCAGTTAAATTACTGAGAAGCCAATTTTCCTTTTTTTTTTTTAAGCCAAATTTGATAAAAAGCAAAATCGTTTTTACTCCAAAAGGACGCTAGTTTTAAAAATCACAATTTTTTTAAAAAAACAGAATAAGCTTAGAACTCCCGACACAGAGTTAAGTATTGCAATACATTACTTTTTCAGTCTTTTCTCAGTTTATGATAGATATACTAAGTTTTCTTAAAAAGCTAACTAACTTTTTTTTATTTATTTTAGCTTTATTTATTAAAGTTCACTTTTCTCTCACTTACGTCACGTAAAATTCAGTAACAAAATCAGAAAATCTTTTCGATCAACATATCTAATTAAAGTCCTAATTAAAGTCTCGTAATACATTTTTTTTTATTCGCTACATTGCTTATTTTTGCCACATTATTTCTTTAAAAATAATTTTTTATTTTTTACTTTTTATCACAGTTATCAATTATTAATAATTATTTTGCTTATCGTAATTATCAATTATTAATTGTATTTACTACAATTGCCTATTAATTATTAATTTTATTTATTTTCAATTTATCAGTTATTAATTATTAATTTCATTTAGTACAATTAGAATTATTAATTATTGATTTTTATTACAGTTATGAATTATTAATTTTATTTCTAACAATTTGAAATTATTAATTAAATATTTATGTATTATAAACTATCAATTATTAATTTTTATTTTTTTACAATTATCTATTTTATTTATTACAATTATCATTGTTAATTTTATTTATTACAATTATAAATTATTAATTTTATTTATTACGATTATCAAATATTATACTTTATTTTAAATTATTTTCTTACTTAAAAAAATATGATGTTGCCAGCGATAGCAATTGCTGACAGCATCCTTTCATTTGAAAAGTGGTTCGACACCAAATGTGAAACGGACGCAGAATTTAAGACTGAGGCTATTACAATTAATTGCTCCACAACGAGAGCTCATATTAGTAATGAATTTATTGCATTTAACATAATTCAAAGAATGCATTTTATGTTTGTAAACGTAATATACTCGTATTATTTCCCAGTCTCATATCTATTTTAAATATCAAATCTGAATAGCTCCGGCTTATATCATAATATATTTTTTCACGAAAATCTGTTTCAGAGTTCCAAGAAAAGTATAACTTCAGGTTTATCAATTTTGGTCAAAATCAAATATGTTCTTCCAGTTGTTATGAATATCTTAAATATTAAAATTGGAAAGTTTTGGATTATATTTTAATATAGCTTTTCATTAAAAACTGTTATAGGCTTCATGTAAAGTATCACTTCCGGTTGTTCAATTTTAGCCAAAGTCTAATCAACTCTACATGAATGTAGAAATCTTAAATGCGAAAAATTGAAATTTCATATAAGAGTTATCGTGAACAACACAACAACAACAACAAAAAAAAAAAAAAAAAAAAAAAAAAAAAGATTAACACAGATATGTAGACACAAAAACAGAGAGATTTCATGGAAAAAATAGCCAGCTTATTTACTGAAAACTCATTATCACTATTCTTGGACCTAAGTCAGTCATTACCTTCCTTACCAATATATAAGTTGGCGAGAGGTAATAAATATTTATTGAAATTCATATTTATGTTACAGTTATTAAAGTTACGCAAAATAATGATTATTTCCTAATATTTTAGACTGTTATTGAAAATTCGCGTGTCACTTAATAAAGGTAAATTTTGCAGTTCCACTCCAAATGGTGCTGCCATCTATCGAGCAAATGAAGAACTAAAACTACCGGAATTTAAAGGGCATGCTGCCAAAATACTACTAGCAGTACACCCAAAAGCTTTTTAACGTAACTACTTCCCATTTTTTTTTTTTTTAACTTCAAAAATTTTAATAAATTTTTACTTTCCTCAAATTGAAAAGGTGAAAAGATGAATTTATGCCTCCCGTCATACTGCAATATTCCATGTTCATAGAATTATTATTTTTATAGTGACTGAAGAAACATTTATGGCCATTTAGGCTCATTGATTCTTCTCATTCATTTAATGACTTTGCAAGCTTATTGCATTTTCATTGCTACTCATTTTCATTCATTCTTACCATTCATTTTCTTACCTTTACTTTCGCGGTTTAAATAACCGCTGTAAAGTACAATACATAATTTTTCATGTCATTTAGCATATTTTAAACTATTAAATATTCTTGAAATAACAAGTTTTAGATTTGTAAAAAATTCATCGAGACTTTACATAAAAAATATTTCTATGTAACAGATTTATGAAAATAGGCCATATACAATATGCATTATAATATGTACTACGTTAAGATAATAAAAATAGGCCATATACACAGTGCATTGTAATGTGTATTACGTTCAGATGAATTCAATGTGTTTTTTAAAACATCCATATATAAATTTATATGGCGATATGACTTAAATGCACGGTTAAGTGAGGAACATAAATAAAAGTAAAAAAGTTTTTGTAATATAAAAAAAAGTAATTCTTTAAACTATGACGTTCGATTTCGAAAATATACTAAAAAATTTTCAAGTTTCTTCAAAAGAAAATTTTTAAAAAAGATCTTACACATTTATCGCTTACTTTTCAGCGCAGTTTTTTGTTCAATATATAAAAATGAACTACACTTGATAAAAATATGCAGCTGTATATTAGCATAAAGGCTAACGCATCTTACAAGTTACATTACACAATTTACCGAAATCATTTTATTTTCTGCAAACGCAGTACAATATACTTTATCTGCATTATTATTTTACGAACCAGAAATCAAGATCGCAAGAGCTCGCGTAGGGAGGCAGATTATTAGAATCGAGATTTTGTTCCTAAATATCGCTCGCGGAAATTTAATAAAAGATGCCTTTTTATATTGTTTGTTGCATGTAAAGTATTGTTGCGAAAAACCCAGCTGCGGTAAGATAGCTTTTCTGGCAACCCTAAACCGCAAAGCGCGGTTTAGGGTTGCCAGAAAGTGGCAAAGAAAAGCAGGATTGCGAGACTTGGCACGAAACCACTCATTTGGCTACAAAATTGGCGATATGCCACAGACGGAGCTGGAACATTCTAGAACGAATTCTTATTGGCGTTCCCGAGAATTTTCTCAAAGGCAGGTCAATAGCTGTAAATACCCCTGCCTGTACGCGGAATATCTGGAGACTATCGAGTAGTATGTTGAGTTTAGTAGTAGTGTCTTGAGTTCAGAGATTAGCTCGAGAGCGATCGATCGAGTCGGGAGCTGTACTTAAGCGCCTTGCCGTGAAGCTGTCTTCACCATTATGGCCTGAAGGCAGTGTTGATGATTGTTTCAGGATGTTTATAATAGTTTTTCGACGACTGTAAAAGTGTCTTTGGAATTTTCCTTTGTACTACTGAAGTGTATTTTAATTTTTCATCAAGTGTTGTCATGAACCACTCCAAATCCACGAATCCGTAGAATTCATCAGTAATAATACCAGTGTTTTTGCTTTAATGCAATACTGTATTCTGTAATCTACTTGTGACATATGCAAATGAAAACATTAAGCAAAAATTTAGTGATGCAATTTTTGTCTTCTACTCTTCCCCTTTGAAAAATCAGAAAACGTTATGAAAAATTAATTTCAGTGATTAGAAAGCGTACAGCATGTCCGTTATACAAGAACAGATAGTAAATGGCATGAAGGAACAGACGGAAATCTCACAGCAACGGGCAGCAAAATAGTGAAAAGTACTGAAAAGTGAACTCGTATCTTTTGCAGCATTTCTGCTTTGAAATGGCTGAATTTTAGTTTTTGTTTCTCTCTTCCATTATTTTCCATAGAGAATATTAGCTTATAAACCTTTTCTGGAATTTATATGTTCATACAAATCATTACATGAACACTTCTAAATTCACTTGCATGTTCAAAAGTTCTTTTGCAGTTGATCTCTGTAATCGACCACTTTCTGGAGACCCAATATCACTCTTAAATTGAACTAAAAATCCTTTCTCTTGCTTAGCGGCGAAAAAGATAAACTAGATGGACAATCACTTTGATTTAAAAATTTTGGGTATTTTTCAATCTCAGAAACAGCCGTGGACACAAACGCAAAACCTGGACGTCTAGCAACGCTAATTGTTTTATAGGAATACATTTAATATATAACAAAAATTGTAAAACTTGACGTTTCAACCGGAAAAGAGTTATTATTTTAATAAAGTGCTATTATTAGTAAATAATTTCTTGTTTCGGTTTATAGCCTCTTTTCAAGAAAAGAAACGAAAAGAAAAAAAAAAAAAAAAGTGCTATTTAGCACACATTATCTTACCTCAAAAACGTAATCCATACCAGGTTGTAAGCTATAGATAACACCTTTAGTCTCTGTGGGTTCAAAATACTCATGCCTTCGTTTTGTTGTGCCCTGAAAACACAGTTATAACAGCATTCACTTCCAATGTAATGAACCAATTTAATTATTTCTAGAAAATAAATTTGCATTGTGTAATTTTGATTAGTACTATATTCTGTGGATAGATCATAATTCTGCGAAGAGCTTACAATTTAGGTTTTGATTTGGCTCCATTAAACAAAGAGTTTTTAAAATCTTTTTAATTAAAAATTAGTTTTTATTTCGTTTATATTAAATTTATACAAGAGAATTTGATTTATTAACCAGATAGTCTTTTAATTTACTATCATATTCGCGAATATGATTAATTGTTGGAAGAGTTAAAATTATAAATAATGAGCTGTAATAATAATAATAATTCACTCTTAACTATTAGGTGAGATTATTAATTATCCGAATATTATCTTGCTTGGAATGTGTCTAGCTAATCAATCTCAGTTGCAATATTTACTGCGCAAAGCTGCTAAGTACAATATGAGACTTTTCAGTAAAGTGTTATTCATTGGCTACTTTAGAATTATCCTAATATCATATTTAATATTTAATCGCTGTACGGATTATCGAGGAATATTATCTTATTATTACGTTTAACCAGTATTTTAGCTTAACTGAATGATTATTTTAGCTATAACAAATAATAAATACTCTTATTTTTCCTTATTTAAAAAAGATAATTTAATATACCATTATAGTAGATAAAATCCTATGTTCTGAAATTCCTGTGGTTAACGATAAATAAATACACGTGAATTTTAAGATAAATTAATATTATTAAAGTTATGTATAAAATTAATAAGCTTATCAATTACAACTCATCACTCAAAAGGAAATTAAACTCTTTACTCAAAAGTTCCATTAAAAAAATTAAAATAAAATCAGAGCATTTATGGTAACCTAAAAGCCTCAGATAGTGGAAAATCATCTGAGCAGCATGACTTTAATTAAAACTTTGAACAAAATATTAAAACTATAAAATGTTAAAAAAATGAAACTCTAAAATCACTCTATAAGTATATTGTTGTTGTACATATGTAATCCTTGCTCTACCTTTAACACTGAAGTCATTGTTGAACAATATCAAAAGTATTATTGACAAAAATTATCATAAAACTAAAAAAAAAAAAAAAAAAAAAAAAAAAAAAAAAAAAAAAAAAAAAACTGAAATGTTTCAGATTTTAAATTACGTCCAAAGGGGCGTTTTTTAACATTTTGTATGTTACCTTTCTTTATTAAATATCATGTTCCTCGCACTTAAACCATAAGATCCAGTGCAACAGCAATATCGCAAAATAGTTTTAAAACGAGCATATCTTTAGAATTTCCGATACAGAGACTCACGCGCTGGAGATAAAAATGTTTTTTCTGCACAACGTTGCCATTGCTCGCTTTGAAATCCTTGAGTTTGTTAATCAAAAATTCGTCAAAGTTTTAAAAAATAGGAAATCGATCATAAAACAAATTTCAAATTTCAAATTTGGTCTTCCACATGCTCATATTCGTTGGAGGATTACGTTATTCAAAATTCGATGACTCTATGTACCGTTGTTTTATCACAATACGAGAAATATACATACATTTATGCAGATTTTTCATTATTTAATTTCTTCAAATATAATGCAGGACTCTAACATTTTGTGGCAACAGTTTGAAAAGTGAACCGACATTTATGAGTCCGACGCAAAATGCCAAAACGAAACTAATAGTCCTTCGGGATTCAAATCCCTTTGGACTAAAAAAAAAAGGGGGGGGGCAGTAATTTTTTAGTTTTTTTTTTCCTTTGAGGTGTGTAGTATTTAAATTCTATTTGTTTCCAAGCAATTTAATAAAACGTAATTTTGACAAAGTAATTTTTAAATATAATGATTAGGTTACCTTTGTGTAATATGTGACTTTAAAACCTCTAAGAACTCCGTTTTGTTCGTTGCTTGGTAAAGACCACTGTAGAGTAATTTCACTCGGTTTAACGTCTACGGCACGGAAAAAATGGACTCGTCCTGGTACTGAAATTCAAAAATATGCAAATTATGTATTGCATAAACATTATGACAAAAATGCAAAGACCCACAGAAAATAATTGGAATCCATACAGATGACAAAATTAACATGCTTAATGTTTAACTCATTTTGTAGCTAACTTTCATAAATTTAAAAACCGCTTCGTACTTTTTATTACATTTATTATACATCAATTTATTGTACATCTACAAACTTAAAATGACGAATATATATACGAATATACGTACAACACAATTTTTACCATTAAAATCCAATTTCTCAGTATTGACATACTCAGTAGTTAGTTCTTGTAAGAAAAGGAGGAAAGTCCTGAATTTGCTAGCAGCCCGAAAAGAAAAACAGCTAAAAAAATAAACCCAAACGAATTTTGATTAAAAAATGTTAGAAAATGAATTTTCCTCATGCTTTGGAAAACCTGAAGATTGCAGATAAAATCAAAAATAATATACGCTGAAAATTTCAACAGTAGAAGTAGAATGAACTCTTAATCCTCTTAAATCCGAATATTTAAAGGTTCCTGAGCTTCCAGAAAAAAATAATAAAAATAAGGAAAAAGAAAGAAAATTAAAATGAGCAAAATTTCGAATCCCCGTTTAATGAAAATCAAATTTAAGATAGCACATTTTAAAAATACACTTATATTTGTTAGGCATGTACAGATAAAATATAGTTAGGCATGCACACAAATTTTAGTAAATGAAGGGTAAAATGAAAAAATTAAAATTAAATTATAAGTTTATTTTCTAAACTTAATTTAACAAAAGATATCAAAGTATTAGTTCAGATTTCAAATGTGATCAAATTCAAAGGCTCTGGTTGAATAAGTCATTTGTTAGACACCTGAAGTCATGCTATGACATTTCATTTTAAGTTGACGAACAAGATAGAAATAATGCTAGAACAGCTAGAAAGGGACGAGATAACCAGAATTTCATCATTAGTCGTATAACCCCGCTACACTAGTTGTACAGTCCCCCCCCCCCCACACAATTTTTAAAAAGAACACTCCGGAGACCAGTCCGATAAAATTTTCTACAATACCAATACATCGCTTCCGGTACCGAAATTTCGTTCATGTTAGTCGAGTGTCTATCTTAAGGGTGTTGAGGGGTATTTACTTTATAACAATTTTGTTACTGAATAACAATCAAAAACATTCTTCAAAAATGAAACCTACCAGATTCAAGCGTTTGGAAAGTTTTTGAAAGAGGTCTGCTACGACGAATAGTATCAGTATCATAACCACTCAGAACAGACACAAGGAACGTATAATTATGGTGAGGTTTAAGGTTCCTGAAAGTGTTAGTTTCGCTGAAGCTGATATTCTTTACCAGATGGCCCATCGGGTCCTGGTACTCTATTTCGTAACCATCCATTTCTCCAGGAGGTCTGTCCCATTTCATGGAAATTTCAGTGTCGGTGATGTGAATAGCAACAATCTCCGTAATTGGCTCTGGATCTGAAAGATAAAGACAGCGTTTGAATACTGCTTACTATAGCAAGGACAACAATCTGATTATTTGGTCACTAATAATTTCCTGTCGCAGGAAATTATGAAAGAAGCAAAACTGATTGTAAAACTTTCACGATCATTAATGTGGTTGTTAAATAATTATTACCGCTTAGAATGCATTTTTTAAATTCAGTTTCTACACAAATGATTCCATTAAATAAATATGTACATTTATTATCATCAGTTGAAACAAAAAACTGAACTGGTAGTTTATACTCGAAGGCATGTTGTAAATCACAGTAAAGGATTTTGATATATTTTAACACAGCAAGAGATAAATTGTTATAAGATTAAGCTTACTAAAACAGCAAGAGAATTTGAACAGTGTAATCAAATTAAAACAAAAGTTATATATTAAATTAAAGTATATTAAAATCTGATAAGGATAATTAAAGTAATCAAAACAAAATATGAAAGCACTTCAACAAATTAAAACAAAACATAATAGAAATTAAAGTAAATTAAAACAGGGAGTTAATTAAAATAAGTTAAAACAAACACGTCGAACATTAATATGATCGATAATCAAAGTAAATGAAATAAATCATGTAGAAAATATGTTTAGATTAACCTCTTCGTCGTCCGTAACGCGTCTAGCACGTTCAAGTGAAACTTCCGCAGGGCGGCCGTAACGCGTCTCAAGCGTTCTTCTACATTCTAACTTTTAAACGTTTAAAACGCTTTTTAAATGTTTACTTGTTTGAGTTTTTATTTTTGTTTGTTCTAATACCTCCCAGAGGGCAGTACTAATCAGGCATTCTATTTCTAATTGAATTTGCCCCGGGTTTTATGAATATTCGCGTTATTTTACATAAGATACGACGACAGTAGAGAGATGGCTTTCAAAGTCTACTCAGCAGAAAAGAGAAAAAATTGAGGTTGTGAATTAGGGAAATATAAGAAGGATATACGTTTGATGAGTACAGTCCACAATAACTCGATGATTGATGTTGGAACACGGAAAAGAACTGTAAAAAAACCAATAATTGTAAAAGATTACAACAACAAAATGGGAGTAGTGGACCGCCTGGATCAGATGTTATCAAATTATCCTGCTGTTAGAAATAAGCAGAGATATTATTATTTTTCCATTATGCTTTATTTCCTTATAATTTTACTTAATATTCATTGACATTCATCCACTACGAAAGTCATATATGGAAAGTTATGATGTACAGAGAAAACAACATTACACGTTACGAAAAACAGACGACCCGCTGGGGGGAAATTTTCGCGGACAGGAGAGGACGGCGAAAGGGTTAAGTAATAGATAATCTTTAAACCTTTGCCAGCTATAGAATGGTTAATACTCCGAGTTAAAACTATTTATTCAAAGTAAGAATAAACTAAACTAAACCCATAAGAGGTGAAACGAAAAGCCGCGAACAAATCTGCAAACATCAAATCGATATCCATAATTAAATTTAATGAATTATTTTGAGAAAACCATTTCGGCATAAAACATTTACTAATATATGGGATACTTTCATTAAAAATTTGCCGCTTACACGGCCAGCCATTTAAAATACTTTTCACGAGTCCAACTAGTAATTAATAAGAATAGAGATGAAAAATTTCTTATATTACTTTTAAATTACTTAGCTTATTAATCAAAAATATTGTCAATAAAAGAAAAATTAAATTTGAGAAAAAAAATTAAATACCTTACGCTTTGAGACATGGCAACGCAATGGTGTGAAAGATGAAAATATTTTTTTCGGGTGGTGGTAATACATTTCTGTTAAATCCGAGGTTTCCGAAATACGTTACGTTTTGCTAAGTGGCAACATTTTTTTTTAATCACTGAGTTTTCTGATTAAACATAAAACACAAATTCTTACGCTTCGTCGAGTGCTTTTAAATATCGAATTTGTTAATTTAAATGCCATTACGTTTGTACAAAATATAACATAAATTAAAAACAAACTCAAAATTCAAAATTAAGACTTTAAGACGCATATATCTGGATAGAGAACTATGAATGTTGAAAATATGCGGGGTCTAGGTGACAACGGTTTCCACAATTCAAAGAAAATAATACAGGTTGGCCGTAAAAAAAACTTCCCCGATATATGACACCCTAGTTGCCTATCTATTCAACCAACCGAAATGAAACTTAAGACATTGTTATTTGAAGGTATGAGGCTCAAGATTATGATGATTTAAAGCAAAAGAGCTTTCATGATTATGGTTAAAATGAAAATATTGTAAAGCTTTACAATATCAACACCAACTTTTTACTGTGCAAATTGATGAGTGCATTGAAATCATAAACGGCGTTCGACCGATACACGCATGATGAAAACTGGCGGCGTAAGACATTTGCCAAAAAATATTTTATAGGAGCAATGACAACACAGAGAGGGGAAAATATTTTTAATAGAATTGTAAGTTTTCAACGTGCCCATCTTCGCAAATGATAGCGCATTGCTTGGGGAACATTGTTATCAACAATGTCGAAAGTAACATCGCAGAAGGAATCTGCATAACTTCAATTCTGACCAATCTTGTGGGTTTGATGTGTACACGCTAGATTTCAGATAATCTCAGAACCAGATATCCATCGGAGTGAGGTCGAAATCGCTTTGGCCACGAAACAGAAGATTTACGGGAGACGATTCTATCTTCCAAATGCAGTTTGAGCACTTTCCGAACTCATGTGGCGACGTGTGGAGGAGCACCATCTTGCATCCATACAATCTCATTAAACACATTTCGCTGCAGCAGTTCCGGAATTATGTAAATCTGCAATATTGTTGTATGCCGAGCACTTGTGATGCAACACGTTTTAATTCCTGTGGAAGTGACCCATTCGAAGGAGTACGGACTGAGAATGAATGTTCTTGCGATGCCGCACCACACAGTCACTTCAGCTTCGTATAAAGGAGCTGGTGCCATATCATGAGGTTTTTCGTCAGTTCTTGAAAGTTACGTTCCCAGTTAAGGATAAGTGAGCCTCATCAGTCCATAATATCCGCAGCGGCCACCTGGTTATCTTCATAATGTCTGATGAGGACAATATTCACAAAGTCGGGCACCCGTTGCTTCAGGTTTAATCACCTGGAATCGATAAGGAAACATCCGCAGAACAGCAGAAGCTTGAGGATTGTGGTTTACGGTACATCCAAACAGAGGGCAACACTTCTTGCAGTACGCAAATGAACCTACAGTAATGCACTTCAGCAACACCTTGGCAGGAATACATGGTCGTGCGGATCGCCGTCTGTCACACGTGCATCCAGTTTTTTCAATTTTTTTTTTTTTTTTTTTTTTTTTTTTTTTTTTACCAAATCACTTACATTTTTTACGGACATGCGCTTCGTGTTACTTATGATTTCGCCGATCAATTCGCACTGCTTGCCTGCTCTCTTGAGTTGTCATTGATCCTTTACAATGCACTTGTTTACAAATGTTTTACGCTGTCGTCATACGAGTATCGCTCCAGAACCATTTATGATTTCTGAATAGGCTGATCAATTTGCACAGGAAAACTGGTGGTGCCTTTAAAAAATTTCTACATATTTTCACTGTAACCATAACCGTGAGAAATCTATTGTTTTAAATCATCACAGTGTCGATCGCACACCTTCAAATAATAATATGTGAAATTATATTTCGATTGGTTAAGCGCTAGAGGTTTATGTACTGTGAAAGTTTTTTATGACCACTTTGCACATATATGCATGCATACATACATATACAGATTCTTCCTTATTTAATAATTGAGATAATTAGGGAACAACACTGCAATTGGATTTATTTTCTTGGCGACAACATCATAAAATTTTATTAACTTTTACATGTTTATGATTTAAAATTTTTTATGAGTTTCTGGAGAATATTTGCATTATTTTGGATTTCCGCAACAATACGCATGTTTTACGGAACATAAATGCTTCATTCACCTAGTAGAAACGCGATCGAAAATAGTGTTTTCAAGCAGAAATGCCAAAGACAATGTTATGCTGTAATACTAATTATATTAACAGCTTCGGATCTAAAAAAAAATGTGTTTGATCTACCGTTAAAAATTGCAGAAATAAATATTACATATTTTTGCAGAACTTTTGAAATACAATTTCTGCTTTTATTTCAGTACACAAATTACTTTTCAATCATTGTATTTCTTTTTATTTTAAACGAAGGCTTAAAAAATAATAAATAAATAAAGCTAAAAAAAGTTTAGAAGAACGTTGGTTCGATTATGTGATTGTAGCAAAGTACACAACTATGATCTGCGATACATAAAGAAGCATTCATAAAACACTTTCTGAGGAAATCTGCCCGTATTTACATAGCACATAAAGTTGATTGATTGACTGATCATGATAAATCTCGTGAGGGGTATATGTGTTAGAGAGCATCCTTGTAAAATAACTAATACATATGTTATATTTGTGGAAATCCACGAAAACCCAGCACAGCCAGCCCATTCTTTAGAACAGAAATCGGGTTAAATTATTAATTAGAAATCACAGGACCCCTGGTAAGTTTATGAGGGGGGAAGTGAAAACCTGATAATGCCGGATGTTCCATCATCACAACTGGAAACAATCGAGCCTAATCATAACGTAGACGCATAGCTGTTGCATTTACTAACGCAGTTTTTTACATTTTAAATGAAATTTGCAATTTAAGTTTAATTTAAATACCAGTAAATAAACGTTGTACAATAAAAATCTGCGAATCATTCAAAAAATATTTTCTTTTAGCTTTACAGTCGTTGTAGTTATTATATGATGCATCAGAACCAAGGTAACTTTGGAAGCATACAAAACTGGTTTCAGCTTACATTAATTAGTGCCTGAAGCACGTGATTCAAAATCTTTCGCGCATGGCAAATGACAACAAATAAAAAGAAGAGTGCACTTACACAATCTTGTTTGCCTATGAATGGGCACGCTGCTTACACCGCCACTCACGGTCCATATACTGATATCATATAGGCGACCAGGTACCAGGTTGTCGAACAAGACCAGACGATTTGTATCGTTGAAAAGTTTTTCTTGGGCCGGCACAGAAGAATCACTCAGTTGAAACCGGTATCGATCAAATACCACGCTTCGTCTCGGTGTCGGTGTGTATTTGATCCCTAAAGTTTTTGTCTCCTGTTCACGGGTCACAATATTTATCACAGAATCAATCACAGGCTCTGAAAAATAAAAATTGAAAAATTGTATAAATGAAAGAAAATTAATTGCATATTTTAAAACTTTGTAAATGCTTTTATTCATTTATTTCATGGCAGTTAGATTTAAAAACATTAAAAATTAAGCTCCTTTTTTTAGGAATTTTTCTTTTATATATTTTATAAGCTATTTTTCCCCTCCTTCCTGCATGCCCTCGTGGTGTAATGGTCAGCACACTCGGCGCGTATCGAGAGGTCCAAGGTTCGAGTCCCGGCGAGGGTATTGCTCATTTTACACGTCTCCAGCTTCAAAAAAAAACTCTAATGTCTCTACAAGTTAATAATATTATATACAATAAAATGTTATTGATAAATAATATTTAGCATAGAAGTTTAGAAATTGAGCTGTTCAAACAGCAAAGTTTGACGCCTGCAATGAAAACATGTTTCTGTAAAGTTATTCTGAAATTGATTTAGTGATGCACTTTTCCTGAAAATCAACCTGATTTTGAAATTTTTCTCACAGTGTGTTAAATTAGTAACTGTCATTTTAATTCTTGATATAGTGAATTAAATATTTATTTCAAGAGAATGGGTAAAAATTAAAATTAAATATAACTTCAAACGTATTTTCAATTTCCATTTGCAAGAAATCTATTATTATTATTATTATGGGTTCTTTTGATAGACAGCTGGAGATTTCTTTTTACAAAATAATGAACATTTCGCAAAGCTATGATACATTAAATTGCAAATTTAATATACTGGCAATTTTATGGTAGGCAGTATCTATATTCCGTTAGTCATCACAATTCATACTTTTTGTTTCACTTTCATATTCATCTGCGTCTTGAATCGCGAAATCATGATCGTCATGCCCACCAAAAGATCTAGAGCCTTCATCATTCTTGCCATTTTATAGCCCTTCCTTGTTTACTTTGCAATGCTATTATTTTAAACTAACCAGTTATTCTGATTTTATGTACTTTAACTTTTCCTTTACGTATTACTCACTAGAATGCAAATGATTTAGCTAGTATTTAAACTGAGGTTTTTATTATTATTATTTTTTTTTATTTTAAGGCAGAGCTTGTTTCTGGCTGTGCGTGCACTTTACATTTATTTCCTGCCAGCTCTGATAGTTGTAATTATTCAGCTTCGCTTTGAATCGCTGCCGACACTTGGATATTGACGCTTTGGTAGAATTACTGAGCCAGATTCAAGTAATATTTAAACTGTGTAATCTTTGACTACTGATCCAAGTTAACTTGAATTTGATTGTTCCTTTAGTTTCATCAGATGAGCTGTGGTTGATATTCTTAGCAGAAAGGAGCGCGTTTACGTTCTAAACTCTGTTTAAATAAAAAGGTTATTTAAAACCTTCTCAGGACTTGTAGCTAATTCAGGCGTAGCGTGAATTCGCTTTGCCGATTATAGCTCTGCCTTAGCGATAATTCGCGTAATTAATCTATCAGGGTTATTGGACTAATTTTCAAGTCACTGTACTTTAGAAATAAACCACGAGACTTCATGCTGTCACATTTTCGCCAGCATTCTTACTAGGGTTATCAAGGATCAATTTATCTAACTCTGAATTAATGTTGAATTTCGTTCCAAGTCATAGCAGATGAGTTTATAAAGCCCTGAATTAACGTTGAACTTCGTTTCCACGTCTAGCAGATCTTTTTTTTTCTAGCCCTGACTTAACGTTCAGTTTCGTTCTAAGCCATAGCAGATCAATTTATCTAGCTTTGAATTACAATTAACATTGGATTTCTTTTTAAGTCTTCGTAGATCAATTTATCCAGCCCTGAATTAATGTTAAATTTCGTTCCAAGTCTTAGCAGATCAATTTATCTAGCCTTGAATTAACTTTGAATTTCTTTTTAAGTCTTCGTAGTCCTAAATTAATGATGAATTTCGTTCCAAGTCTTAATAATAAGATAAACAGCATCGAACTTAAAACAGTGAGTTTTTGAAAATGGGGACTTGAGAAGTTTTCATCTTCTTCGAGTACTAATAGGAGAACGTTGTAGAGGAACGTTGTAGAATTGATGCACTGATATCCACCAAACGGAAAATCATGTGTTTATCGTAATTAGAGCATTACAATGGTTAGGTTAGGCTAATAAGTTAATGCAAGTTAAATGACGGAAAAATTCTTTACGTTCGAAAGGACTTGGACATGAAACGAACTACCGATATTTCGGGGCATTATGCGCACGAGCAATGGTGGACTTGTGCACTAGAATGTTCATATAATGAATTATTAGCAAATCACATTAATCGCGCATATGTGATAGAAAATTTCTATCATATATGCGCAATTTAGTGTCGAATTTAATATCAACATTCAGCTTCCTGACGCAGGGCATCGGTCGCTCGTAAGTCAAGTACTTCTGAGTAAATGAAGATCAAGTCTCTGGATATACTATTGACATTCTATAAAACAGTCACTCAAACTAATAATAATAGTAATTGCTCTACGAATTGAACTGAATTCATTGAATTTCTGTTATCTAAGTGTACCAATATTTAAGCCTTGAAATTACATTCATGTTTCTTAAAAATCTCTTTCTGAATTACATGAAAATTGGATTATCTTTATCATTTATTTCTTGTCTTATTCACATAGGCAGTAAAAGAAAATGCCTCTTATAGACTTCAGGGTAAACGCATGAAAACTGTGACTATAAACATTGCAAAGTAATTCTAAAATTTTAAATTTTACGATTTTATCGCCTATGGAAACCATTAGGCCTAAACACAATATTACTTATTACACCAGTCGGCCAGACGAGCAAGTGCTTAGCGACGCTTACTGCTATACCAAAGGGTCTGGGTTCGAATCTCGGAGATGGCATGGATGTTTGTAAAGGCATAGCGTCTGAGCAGCATGGGGCACTCAAAATATACGGCGAGCCGAATATACCCTCGAGAAGTTGGTGGCAAGGGAAGAAGCGTATGAGATCGTCGGGGTGCTATTCTTCAAAACTAGGGTGGAAGTGAGCAAAGTCGTACTCTCACCTGTATGGTGCTCAAGGCTGTTGCCAAGTCTTGTACTGATTTGGTCAAACAAGTGAAATTAGTAGCATCAACAACAACTCATTGCACCAAAAGTACTGTAATGGTAAACAAATAATAAGTGAACTATCTTTAGTAGCAAATGTTTCGGTTCTGGAACATTGCATTTAATAAAATTAGGTAAATATGTAGAGCCATTAGGTAATTTTGAAGCATGAGACGTGAAAAATGTGCATTGCCCTCGCCAGAAATCGAACCTGGACCTATCGAATATGTGCCGAGTGTGCTACCATTACACCACGATGGCATGCTGAGCGGAAGCAGAAAATGTCTTATAAATATACTTAAAGGCTACCCAAACAAGATCACAAAGTGTATTTTTAGACCAGGTGGATCGGGTCGTACTCCTCTCATTTGTACATTATAAATATACTAGCAGCTATGCGGCCAGCCTTCGTCTGGCTTTTAAATGTACTGGAAAAATGCCTGAAGGGAACACCAATTATTAAATTTAAAAATTGCGCATAATTTTACTCTGCAGAACAACTTCATCAAAGGAAAAAAACACAACTAAAAAAATGTATTACATATAAACAAAATTACAATGAAATAAGCAATATCCCTTAATTATCCTAATAAATAAATTAACGAACTTCCCGTTGCCTTCTCTCAGCAAACGTCCAGTATCCAAGCAAAACATTAAATTTGAAAACTGCACAGAATGATCTCCCTCATTTTTCCAAGTGGCAACAGTGCTGATTTTGAATAGTCAGCAGTCCGATATACAACTGAATGGAAAACTGTTGCCAAAACCACATTTCTAAAAGAATGAAACTATTCAAAGTAATGCGATAAAACCGAAAAGATAAAATAAAAAAATCTGATTTGCATTTTGAAAAAGTCGCTTCGACGTGCACTGGCTCTTTTTTAGATCCACCTATATACCAAATTCCATAGCCCTGGGTCTATTAGCTTCCGCGCAGCACGAACGAAAGACACACAGACTCTTTCTTTTATTATATGCATAGATTAAAAATATTTCGAATTATATTGACCTAAACATGATAAGGTTAGTAAACAAATATCCTTGAAAGATCTCACCAAACTTATTCTCATCAGAAGATTATTATTAGAGACTGGTAGAAAAGTGAACTACAGAATACATTATCAATAAGGCACGACACTCTATCTTTCGTTAATGAAAAGTGTTCTTGCACTGCATTATATGTCTGTAATAGAAATGACTTCCGAATAACTCTCCATTTCATGCCCATAATTCAATACCACACTGCTTGAAACATTTACATTTACATTGACCTCGATGATAAATACTTCGTTCAGTTTTCCCACGCGTTGACCGTCCAGAAAATTACATCCAGTCCTCAAATGGACTTGCACTTCTACAGCGCTGAACTGATAAATCGTTTGTTAAAAAACAGACCGGTTTCAGTTTTATCTACGAAAAACATCTGCAAATGCAACTATCATTAATTTCCATGTACAGTACAGTATGACAAAAAAGCCGTCGTTGTGGGCGTAAACATATGGTGGTCGAGAATTGGGATAACTGGATATTTTTTTAAAGACAGAAATAAGAATCAGTTCTTTCTATGACTAAGCTGAAATGAAAGAAAAGAAGAAAAGAAAGATGTTTAAAGATTCACAGATATCCTAAGACAATTATTTTTTTTAGCAATCATTTCAAGAAGCTGCTGTTAAGCCTTTTATAATAATACATGCACTGAGCATAATTAAATGAATTTTGAACTCTTAAAATTTATATTCACATCCCAATGGATGCAGTCGAATTAAAAATTATTTACAATTCGGTCTGTGCCTCTAGACTTTAACAATTGAGAGAGTTCTCTAAAATTTTGCCTCCTTAACCCTCTAACTGCTTAATTTGTGCATCAAAATCGCTTCCAAAATTGCGTTTTTAGTCCAAAGGGGCTTTGTCCCTGAAGGACTATTGTTTTCGTTTTGCGATTTTGCGTCGGACT